GGTTATAATTTACAACTTAAATATAATTTAAAATAGTTTAAATTTTACGAATTTTTTCTTTCATTTCTTGATACATAAATAAAGTAAATTTATATTAACAGTAACTATAAAAAATTGAGAAATGAATATTAATTACTATATAAAATATTATATGAATATTAATTATTATTTATATTAAATATTTATGTTGATTTTAATTTTAAATAGTTTAATTAGAATTAATGGAATTAATTGAAATGCGAGCTCGCCAGATTCTCCATCTTGTTATCACAATTCATCCATTCAGTACCATCTCTCATCAGTCTTCCTCTTTCATTCAAAATTGTTGATGAGACTTCGATCATTCGGCGCTGTTTCTCGACGACATATCCATCATCATCGCTCATCAGATTCCATCCTTATTCGGACAAATCAACACTCTTTTCTGATGTCGGTTTTTGCAGGTACGCGCGACCTCTCCGGTCCCCGCACTGGCTCCCTTGGTCGTGACCTTGACCTCGACCTCGACCCTCGTACCCGCGCCTCCCAACCACCGCCCTTCACCGACCCTCTACTAGCCTTCGACGATGAGGACACCGTCTACGACAGCCGTGGACAACGCATACCGGGACGTCGCAGGCTGGGCGATGACTTCGCAGACGAAGTGACAGCAACGACACGTCGGTTTCGCGCCCGGGTGGCAGCGATGGGTCTCGAAGACGATTTCGAGGCCACGAACGCCGCGGGCCAGGCCAGAAGAAACGCTACCGATCTCCTGGAGAATACGGTGACCGCCAGGAAGAGCGCCAAAACGGCGATCGAAGACGTCGAAAACAGCTTCAAGAGACGCTCGAAGCTCTTCGATGAGATCGAACGCGTCGATGAGAGCAAGCCAGCGTTCGCTAGATGGTCCAAGCTGATCAACGAGGATGACGACTTAGCACAGACCAGCGCCGCCGCCAGTCGGGCCATGCAGACGAAGGCGCGTCTCCACGATCTCGAGTCGGAGATGGAGGAACTCGCCGAGAGACAAGCCAAAAGAGAACGCAGGGCCGCGGCCCTCAGGGCGCTGGTCAACGAGAATGCCGCTGCGGCTGATGCCGACATCGTTCAACAGTCGGCCCTCAGCAAGAAGGTGCGCATCGCCGAACGTGCAGAGAAGCACGTCAGCTTCTAGAGAATCTTGCGATCTATCTTAATTCTCACGACAGTGTTTTACAGCCATTAAGCATTACGCACTGAAAACTTTGAGGAAGATTTCAAGGAGGATCCATTATTAATTGTTTATGTCCTTACATGAAAAGAATGGTTACTTCAGTGATACTTCAGTGAAACTATTCTTTCTGTGTAGCAATTAGAAAAAAAAGATTATTAATCTTTGTCGACCATAGCTATTGCAGGAAAAACAACTTTTAATCATTAAACATGTCAATTGTTGTCTTGAAACATATTATTTAAATATGACTTTATTATTGGCTTAAATTTTGTCATTTCTTCAAAGTAATTAAAACCAATAAAATTATTAATATGCTCATGATAAGATCGATATTGCAGTTTTAAATTACATTATATAATATATTATATAATATATAATATATTTAAATTACATTCTTTTAATGTTTTTAAAAATGACCATAATAATAATTAGTAATAATTTATATTTATTGTAGTTTTAATTTCTTTTGATTATGGTGTAACATAATGTTTGTAAATCGGCAAACAACATAATGTTTGCTGTAAGGCACTGTTCTATTTGAATACACGAGTATATTAGAATATGTTTTCGATGTACATGCATTATGACCGCCATTTTTTCGGCGGTCACGCATTCATATGGATATTATATCATCGTTGATCTATTCGTGAAACGAATATATGACGATTCCATTAACTTTAAATAGTGCTTTATTGACAGTGAATTGTCGATAAATTTTACTGGCTGTAAATAGTTAATAAATTTTATCGACAGACTCTAATATCGAAGTTCATGCTCATGCGATACTGCGCGTATATTTATTGCGCATAATTCTATAATTATAATAATGTATCGATACTTTAATTATGCGAGATGTGTCTTTCGAAAATACTCTTGACCCTTCTTTTTCAACACGATTTTATTTCTATTTATATTCAATCTTTTTTGTAAATTAACGACGCGAAATTTGACAGACATAATATGACTGGATTAAAACCTATATTGCTTAAGATTTAACGTACTTTCGTACGATATTTCTCGCACAATTTTTCGCTTCTCCGTTCTTCAGGTGTAATCCGAGAGAGCTTAAATGTTAATCGTTCCTAATAAATACGTTATATTTTAATATTTAAAATTACTCTTGCAAAACTTGTTATATTTAAATTTTAAAATCATTTTTGTAAAATTTATTATAATACTATCAGCGCGATTATTATAAAGAGATGCGAAGTCGCAATTTAATTGCCGAGTTTGTCTCGAAACATTGTTTCTTTCAGAAAACTGTTCTCCGAATTTATCATAAATGTATATTTCTTCTTTCTTATTTATGAATAAATCTCATTTGAAAACTCTTTTCGAAGAGCATGTCAGGTGACACATACACCACATATTTCCTCAAATTTCCTTTTTTATTCATTATACACTTTTTATTTTATTGACATTTTATGTATCTTGATGTTTTTTTCCCTTCCATTTTCTGCATGCACGAGATTCCACTAGCTGCAGTGAAACTCTGCAGGTAAGAATCTATTTTTTATAAGGTATATAATAAAACTGACGAATATTTATATATACACTGTTAGAAATTTCTCAATGAATTTTAATTAACATGTAAAGGAAGCATGTGGTTATGCACGAAATTAAATGTAATGAATGATGTAAATAAAAACTAAATTACAGTAGTCTTAAATGTGATGAACGTGTGTATTGAAATTAATGAACACATTATT